ACGGTTCAATTTTAGTTTTGAACCGTCAGTTCACAGTTTCAAGAAAAGATAAACCGGAACGGGAATCTTTGTAGTTTTGGTTTGAATTGTTAATTCAAAATTTTTTTAAAAATGTATTTTTTATTTTTAAAATAATTCAAATTCAATAATTATTTTTTATTTTATTTTTTTCGGTTTAGAACCACAACTGATAGTTCCAATTTTTTATTTTAATAAATTGGAAGGACTTAAATTCCTATTCGTTTACTACAGTGTCCGATTTAGTTCAAACCAAATCGTGATCATCCCTAGATGGTAGGATACTATATTTAACGTCAGCCTTGTATTTTTCCACTATCTGATCGAACCCTTATCATGGCAAAACCCTCCCGAACTACCGGCAACCTTCATTGCATATATGGTGGCTTTAATTAAGTTCTCTGTTTGGGAGGGTTGTGGCATTCATGGCTATGCACTTCTCTACTGTCTAGAAAGCAAGGGAGATTGAAAAATTATGAGTTTTACCTTTCAAGAAATTAATAAAGATGAATAAGATGGAAGTTGGACGTATAAAAAGCACTTTGAAGCCGAACACTATGTAATGCGTTAACACATCTATTACCATTCCAAACGGGTGATCACATAATCGAACTTCGATGGTGGAAGCATTGATTCTTTGAGCTTAAAAAGATTAAGAAAATATATAACAAATAATACATGATAAAAAATTATGAGTATTTAAAATAATAGAGCATATTTTAGTTGATCTGGTCAAGAAATTCGAATGATTGGTTGTTATTATTCAAATAAGTATAAACTTAATATAGGCTATGTTTGGTAACATACTTAGCTTATTAACCAATTTTGACTTACTATTATTAGATGTTTGACTTAGCTTGGTTAAACAGCTAATATAAGTGGTTGATTAATTATCTTTTTGTAACATCTTATTGCTTCAAAACGCTAAAATTCAAAAAGTTGTTCAAAGCAGCTTTTTTCGAACAGCTCTTTGGAAAAAGTCATTTTGCATGTAATCAGCTATCAACTATCAGTTAATTTACCAAACATCTTTCCAAAATCAGTTAATGCTATCAACTAGTCAAACACACTAACTCAATCAGCTAACAGCTATTTACCAAACACCCCCATAATCTCCTTTCAAAAAAAAAAAAAGTACAGTATTAAATATAGTCTATTTATATTGTGGGAGTGAGGAAAATCTAAGTAGAAGCTAAAACACCAGATGGATGCATTTAAGAGAGGGAAAATAATATGCATTCTCTCATTCTCTACTCTTTGTTTCCACACTTAAAATCTTAATATAGACATTTGTATTACGATACACATGAAAAATAGCTTATCAGTACTCACCATATCAAGGGGTAAAATTGAGGGAGTAAGAATTGAAAATACTAGTAGAACTCGGGGAGTGGCTAGTATGTTTGATGGAATTTTATTTTTTTTAACCACACACTACCATGGTGAGGTTAAGTGTGCACCCCGGAATCCAAATTCAATTAAGGGATTAATTAAGTAATTAATCCTATTTCAATTTGTAATTTAATTCCTTAAATTCCTGAAATTTAATAGTTGGGGACTAGTAATTGACTAGTCAACCCCAAAGTCAAAGTTGTACATTGAGCGCAGCTTTGTAAGGAGTTCCCTTGTTCCTTACGCTTCCTTATGTTAGTAAGTGTATTCTTGACCTTTCACTTGTTGTTGGTATTGTAATCTAACCTAGTAGGCCACCTTCATTCTCTCCTTACACTTTTCTAAAAATCTAGCTCCACCCTCTCTCTAAAAGGTGAGTAGCTTTTCTTCCAAACCAAGTTGGAGCCTTGCCAAAACTTCAAGAGTTTCTTCCAAGATTCAACCTTTCTTATATTTGGGCATCTAGGAGGGTAAGATTTAAGTTCATCTTGTGTTTTTGGTTTTATCTAAGGTGTCTTTTCTTAAAGATAGGATCTTTATGATCTTTTGGTATGTTCTTGAAGTGGGTTTGAAAGGTGAGCCTAGTGAGGAGCTTGTTGAGGTGTAAAGTGAAGTCTTTAGTCTACAAGAGGTAACTCATGCTCTACAAAATCTATTTTGCTTACCTATGTGAATATTTCTTGGATTCTACATGTGTTTTGCTATGAAATGTGAGTGTTGATGCATGATCTTGTGAAAATGCATATCAAGAGCTTGTGTTTAGGGTTCATTTGTGCCATTGCTTGGCATTTCCTTTGATTCAAGTCATTTTGTTGTGTTTGGTGAGTTTTGGCATGTTTTGGACTTGAATTTGAGCTTGGATTTGAAAATCCCCGAAGGGATTATTTTGGTGCACAGGGATGTACCCGCGAGCGGAACGGCGGGCAGAGCCCTACCCGCCGCCCCACCCGCGGGAACATGAGGCTTGTGGGTGTATGTACCCGCAGGCAGGACCATGGGTAGGGGCCGACCCGTGGGCCCACCCGCGGGGTACACAGTGTGGTTGATTGGGGATTTGTTCCCCGTGATTCTTTTGACTCGGTATTTGGTCTTTTGACTTCCCGTTGTTTTTTTGTGGAACTATTTGAGTGTCTTCTTGATGTTTCGTATGTCTAGAACTATATGGTAGGAATCCATGTAGGCTTTGGTGTCTTGAATTGTGCTAAGTGTTCAACATTGTGTTTCGTTGAACCGTGATGGGTCTTGTGTGTTCTTCTGAACTACGTTTGGTTTACCCGTTTGTTAAGCATGCTAGTTCGGTGTTTAAATGCTAGCGTGTGTGTTGTTCGTATCTTCTTATGGGTTGACGATAACTTGTGTTATTCATCGTTGTTGTTGTTGGACTGTGATCCATTCCTTGATTGAGTATGGTTTCATATCTTCGTTGTGATCCGTTGACTGATTCCTGTTGTGGTGTGATGTGTGTGTGGCTTTACCTGGATTGCACGATTAGTGGTATGGGACACTAGTCACCAAGGTATTGCAGTGGTCCTCGTGGTGGCCATGATGTGATTATGGAGTTGTGACCTTTGTGTAAGGTTCACGTATTTCTTGGGTGGCATGTGTTGCCGTGTGTGTGATCGGTACCCTTGTGTACTATGAAATCGGTGGTTCTGTTGGAGAGGGGACGACGGTCCTCGGAGGGAAAAGGTTGGGCTTGGTGTACAAGGGTCCTGGAAGTAAAGGTTGGAACTAGAAATAAGGTTGGGGGTAGCCATAAGGTTGGAACCGGGCATAAGGAAGGCATATCAACTCGTGATGGGTGATGTCACGAGGGCTTGTGTAGCCGTTGTTGTGAGTTCTCTTCTTGTGACGTGTGTAGTCACAAAGGCATGTGTTGTCGTTGGTGTTGTCTTTATCCTTTTGAGTTGTTATTGTCCTTGTAGTCTTGGGATGTGTTCCCGTGTTCTTGTTGAGAGTGTTGAGTCTTCCGTTGACTATTGCTCTTGGTTTTGTACATATATACTTATGTATTCCGTTTCGAAAATGGCTTTACAACTTATACCTTATCTATGTATGTTATTTCACATGTATTGGTGGGTTACCAGCATTATTCGCTGACCGGGCATCGTCCCATGTTTTATTGTGTTCTTTCAGGTGATGTCTAGACGAGTGCGCGGTCTAGTGCTTGCTAGTATAGCTTTTCCCTCTTTGTTTTGTGGCCTCTGTGCCAGCTTAGATATAGAACTTTGAGACTATGGGTTTAGATGTAAACATTGCAGATGTTGTCGTAGCGTTCATCCTTTTGGTGAACGTGGCATAACACCCCGTGTTTTGGATTTATGTTTATCTAGTTATCTTTCAGTCTTCCGCTGTGTTTGTTGTTTAGCTCAGTTATCTGCATGTTTAAGGCTTTTAAATAGCTTGTTTTTAGGGGGTGTTACATTAAGTGTCCGCACGAGTTTAACTCACCAGTTCAGTACTTAGTATTTAGGAGAAGAGGCTAAGGTTCAAAACTCGACAATGACAGTGTGAGAATTATGTCGAAAGTAGGCAAATTCATTATGTGCACCGGTATTTGGCCTTGTCTGTTCAGCCACTGAGTTATCGTAATTTATATTATTTCACATGCTCTGTTAGGCTATGGTATGGAGATTCAACATTTTAAGAGAAGTTGTTATAATGGAAGTATTCAACCTTCAGACTTACACTACAAAAAAAAAATGCAAAAATAGCGATGAAAAATTCTGTCGCTAGAAAGGGAAAAACCTGTCGCTAAACGCTTTAGCGACGGAATCACTCCGTTACAAAAGGTGGCGTCGCTAAAATTTTGCTACGCAATTTTTTTCCGTCGCTAAAATGAAAAATATCCGTCGTTAATTTCCTCTCCACGAAGATTTGAATGACAAAATTTACAAGAGAATAACGACAGAAAATTTCGTCGCTAAATTTAACAACAGATATTCCGTCGCTAAAGTCCGTCATTATATTTAGCGATGGAAACTTCCGTCGCTAATTTATTTCTATAGGTGTCATTTAGCTACTACTTAGAGACGAAAATATCCGTCGCTAAATTTAGCAACAAAAACTTCCGCAATTATTTTGTTGCCCTTCTTTATTGTTTGAAGGTACCATTTTTGCCATTGCTAGATTTTTAAAATTAAAAATAATATACAAATAAATTATGTATTAAATCTATAATATAATACTTTTTTTTAAACGACCTATTATATAATACTTCAATAATATAATTGCAAAATATATTATATTAAGAAATTCAATGTCAATATTAATAACAAAAGTATAGCATTGTGAAGTGTTACATCGTTAGAAACGGTACAAAATATATTAATACACATAATATAACCGTCTCTGAAATTTGCCGCATTTGAATTAGCAGAATGTTCAGCCATCAACTTTTGGTACTGTAAAATGTCTCTTAGCTTGAAGTACCCCAGCAGATTCATCTAAGTTGCACCACCAATTAATTATAAATTTATTATACTATATAATCGGAACATACACAAAACACTACAAAAATCTAAACCTTTGGTTGAATAAATGCATTAAAACAAAATATAAATGAGCATTCACTAGCAGAGGAAATTTACCTAGTTATACTCCTAGTTCCACCATTTGCTTTTCCAATGCCTTATAACTAGAAAATTTAATCAAGAAATGCATAGCAAAACTCTGCAAAACATAACAGTATAAACAAAAAAAAAAAAAAAACAAAAAAAAAAAAAAAACCATGAAGTGTAGACTCCAAAATAACAATCAGGAGACTAACCTGTAATCATATGTCAATGGCTCTCCTACTTCAATGTCTCGATCAGCAAAAACACCAACAAGTGTCTCACAATCAACCTGCCTTTAGTGAAGGATAAACATATATGAGCAGTTGCTCGATCAGGTTATATTTCACTTTTAATTCTGCTAAGCAAATTTTCAAACAGTTAGTAGGCAAAACCACTCTTACCCAGCTCCTCTTTTCCGAAGAGGTCATCATTCTCTGATAGGGAACTTTGTGCAATTCGGATAACCATTTCACTTTTAAGTAGTTTCTAGGGTTGAATGCAACCAAACCAAACTCAGAGCAACTTAGCAACATCAACATCAAAATATGAACAAACATAAAACAAACTGTAAAAGGCAATAAGAAAATGGAATATGAGATTAAGGAATTCATTTAATTCAAAGTGTAGAAAATGGAAAATCCCTAAAAGAGAGATACACCAATACTAAGCAAGACCTGAAGGTACATAACTTGGAGATATATTTGTACCTTCGGAAACTATAAAGGGAGCAAGAAGATAAACTTGATTCGACGGTGGTGGCGGTCGTTATGTCACTGTGTCGGCACCTCGAAGAGTGTCATCGGTCGGCGATCGTCAAGGTGAGGTTGCGACGGTAGTAGTGATATGGAGCAGGGAGAAGTGGAGAACTGAGATGGACAGAGACGGAAGAGGCAGAGACGGGAGAGGGGCTGGAAATTCTATCTTCAGGGTTAAAGTTAAAATACTAGCGACGGATGAATAAATCCGTAGCTAAAATATAAAATTAAATTCTCGCCTTTTATATTTAGCGACGAATTCAATAATCCGTCGCTAAAATGTAAAAAATGTCTTGTATATTTAGCGACGGATATGTGTATCCATCGCTATATAGCGACGGATTTTCAAATTCGTCACTAAATAACGACGGATTCTTATATCCGTCGTAATTTGTAGCAATTAAAATTTTGGAATAAGCCCACGAAATATCTGTCCAAATATGTCTCTATTTTTTACGCTCTAAAATTTATCGCTAAAATTAGGTACGTAATTAACGACGAATATATTCCGTCGCAATATCCATCTCTAAATCCATCGCAATATTGCAGCGGTCCTCATGGTGGCCGTGACGTGATTATGGAGTTGTGACCTGTGTGTCAGGCTCACGTATTTTCTTGGGAAGACGTGTGTCGCCGTGTGTGTGTACGGTACCTTGTGTACTATGAAATTGGTGGCTTTGTTGGTGGTTTGTTGGTGGGGGACGACGGTCCCAGGAGGGAAAAGGTTGGACTAAGAAGTACAGGGGTCCTGGAGGTAATGGTTGGAAAGAAGAAACAAGGTTGGGGGTAGCCATAAGGTTGGAACCGGGCATAAGGCAGACATATCAACTCGTGATGGGTGATGTCACGAGGGCTATTGTAGCCATTGTGGTGAGTTCTTCTCTTGTGACGTGTGTAGTCACAAAGGCATGTGTTGCCGGTTGTGTGAGTCTTATTCTTTTGTGTTGTACTTGTCGGGTTTTGATTTATTGAGTGATGATAGATCATGCCTTGACTCTTTTTTGAGTCGTGTTGTTCTTGTGGTCTTGGGATGTGTTCCCGTGTGTTGTTGTTGAGAGTGTTGAGTCTTACGTTGGCTTTTACTCTTGGTTTTACACTTATATATATGTATTCCGTTTCGAAAATGGCTTTACAAATGTATATCATATCTATGTATGATATTTCACAAGTATTGGTGGGTTACCAGCATTATTCGCTGACCGGGCGTCGTCCCATGTTTATTTGTGATCTTTCAGGTGATGTCTAGACTAGAGCGCAGTCTAGTACCCGATAGCTTAGCTCTTTCCGTTTGTTTTATGGCCTGTGTGCCTATCTAGTTGTAGACTTGTGAGATTTGGGATAGTTGTATACCATGCAGATTTGGCCATAGCGTTCATCTTTGTTGATGGGCGTGGCATAACACCCCTTGACTTAGATTTATGTTTATCCAGTTATCTTTTAATCTTCCGCTATGCTTGTTGTTTAGTTGTGTTATCCGCATGTGTTAAGGCTTTTTATAGCATGTGTTTTTTTTTTGGGGGGGGGGGGGTGTTACAAACTCTGTCTCGAATAAAATGGTAGTCAATTTCCATGTGCTTGGTTCGAGCATGAAATATGGGATTTGTGTACATATACGTAGCACCAAGATTATCACACCACAATTTAGGGACAGAGACCTGACACTTTGAAATCACGCAGCAATGAGACTATCCAAATTACCTCAGCACAGACATTTGCTATACCCTTATATTCTGCCTCAGTAGAAGATCTAGCAACATTTCTTTGTTTCTTACAAACCCAAGATACAAGATTAGATCCAAGAAACACAGCAAAACCACTAGTAGATTTACGGTCTTCCGGACAGCCAGTCCAGTCCGAATCAGAGAATGCATGAAGTTTTCTTGAGACTGACTTTCTAATACGAAGACCAAAACTCACAGTTCCTTTAACATACCTTAGTACCCGTTTCAGTTGCTCCTAATGTGAAACTGTAGGATCATGCATGTGTTGACACAACAAATTGACTACAAAAGAAAGATCAGGACGAGTTATAGTTAGATACAATAGTTCCCCTACTAGACTCCTGTATTGTGTAAGATCATCAGACAAGTCAGCACGAGATGGGACAAGCTTCGAAACAGAGATAGGCGTGGCTAACTCCTTGCATTCTGTCATTCCAGCACATTTCAAGATATCATTCATATATCTCTATTGCGAAAGTAAAATACCATCACCACATTTAACGCTTTCAATCCCAAGGAAGAATCGAGGTTCACCACGGTCCCTAATCTTGAAGACATTAAATAAGCAACTAGATCTTGATCACTCCCCCATCACACGAATATCATCAACATAGACTAACAGATATATACAAGCAGACTCCTGAGAGTAATAAAATAGAGACACATCTGTTTTTTACGCTTGGAACCCAACATACAGTAAGAACGAGTGTAAGTTGTTAAACCAAGCTCTAGGAGCCTATTTTAAACCATGCATGGAGCATTTCAATAAGCAAACATGAGTGGGATACCGAGTATCCATAAAACTAGGCGGCTATTTCATGTAGAGAGTTTCAGACAAATTTCCATTTAAATATGCATTATGGACGTCAAGTTGCCTAATAATCCAACCAGTGGATAAAGCCAAGGATAGAAATAACCTGACAATAGTGAGTTTTACCATTGGGCTGAATGTATCAAAGAAATACTGACCAGGCACCTGATTGAACCCTTTTACTACTAATCTTGCCTTGTGTCTCTCAATGGAGTCATCTGCCTTTCGTTTTGTTCTAAAGACCCACTTACACCCAATAAGGTTCATACCTACCCGAGAGGGAACAAGACACCATGTTTGATTCTGTAGAAGAGCATTAAATTCTTGGTCCATAATATCACGCTATTCTAGATACTCGACTGCCTGATTGTAACAAGTGGGATCCATAGGACAAACCTGAACCATTAAATTCGATGGAGGAGCATGAGACCGATTGCGAGTGCTCATCCCATGAGTCCAGGTGGTAGACTTCACGAACTTGCCTCGTGGCCGGCCACGCGGCTGAGTAGTAGGTTGCCTAGGTAGCGTGTCTGCCTCATGCCCGGACTGCCCAAGCGGGGAATCCGGTTGATTATCGGATTACCCAGGGGGGGCATCCGGTTGAGGACCAGATTGCCCAGGGACGATAGTACCGTCACTGTCAAGTTCTGGCATGGTCCCGTGAGCCTGCCCAGGCAAAGCAGTGGTGGTAGTAATGGGATGAAGCACCGACTCAGCTCACAAATCATTTTGCAATAGTTGAGGTGCTTGCAAAATATTCTTAGTAGCAAAAAGAAAAACTATTTCATCAAACCGCACATACCTGCACACATAAATCTTATTATTCTATAAGTCCATGCACCTATACCCCCGAAACGACTCAAGATATCACAAGAATACACATAGATCGAGATGACCGATAAGACATTTTATGATGATTGTATGATCTTAAATATTGATAACATAGACACCCGAAGACACGAAGAAATAATAGGATGGAGGGGGGTTATGCAACATTAAATGAAAAGACCTAGATGGGGTATTAAAGGAAGCATGACCAACACGACTAATAGATAATGTATTACCATCACCAACACACAAAGTGTCATTACCAGCATACTCTTCAAACATAGATAGGGCTAAATATCTAGAGTCCCATGATTGGTTGCTTAGTATCAAGAATCCATACCTGAGAGCCATTAGTATCTGAACCATTATTTTGATATGTCAAATTGGCTTGAGGAGGGGGATCATAACGGTTGTAACATGCAAGAACAATGTGACCATTACGACCACAAATCTGGCATTTGGACTAACCATCGTGCCACCATTGCCACCCCGGCCGCAACCACCACACCACGACCGTCTTACTGCCGACCGCCTCCATCGCGCTGACCACCACTACCACCTTAACTCTGTCCGCCGCGATTACCACCGTGACCTGAGCACCGAGACTGCCCTCCCTGTTGGGCAATAAAGGCAGCTAGCGAGGCTATATCGGCGCCGGCGCCACGAATCAATTATTGAGCAGCTAGGAAGTCGGCTAACTTTGTGAGGGTGACGGGTTGTCCGCAAACTGAGAGCGATACGGTTAGGTTCTGAAACTCTGGTTGTAAACCCCGAAAAACGTACAAGTTCATCTCGTCCAGGCTGACCGGCCTATCGGCCAGGCTAGGTCTTTCGTAATAACACGTGCACGACCAACATAATTTGTCCCAAAAGAGGTAAGGTAAAAGTCTAGGGGGGGGGGGGTGGTGGGTGAATAGACTTTTACACCAATTTTGCTAAATTCAAAAGTGCTAAGCCAATAAATAAAACAAAAACCCTTAACTAATTGTTAAAGTCTTGTGCACAGCGGAACATTAAAATAAGTGATGTGATTGTGTTATGTGAATTTCACATGAGATGAATGCATGCAAGAATAAATAAATAAAGCAGTAAAGAACACAAAAATTTATAGTGTTTCGGAGGTGATGTAATCCTCCTACTCCACTTTCTCCTATCTCCAAGACGAATTCACTATATCCACCCCTTCTTGGTTACAAGATACAACAAATTATGTGATCTAGTGCTTTGGTCACCAAGCCCGCACTAATCACTCCCCAACTAGTGCCTCCAGGACTACAACTAGTATTTCACAACTCCATGCTACTTTCTCCTTTATACACTACGGTAGAGCTACAACCAGGATTATTTCACAACTCCGTGCTACTTTCCTCCTTTCTATACTCCAATAGAAATACAACCAAGATTTCACAACTCCGTGTGACAATCTTCTTCCTACAATCCCGTAGGGATACCACTTGTTTATAGAAAAACAAGATTTTCTTTTCTTCCAACTTTGAGACTTCTGTATGGATTCTTCAATGTGTAGCAATTCTCTCAAAGATAAAGATTTGGCACTCTTGAGTATTTCTTTGTAACCTCTAATCCTCTTGCTGTATTTTCACTTGAATATTTCGTATTTTGTACTTCGTAGATGATTGGTGCGGTTCTTTTGTTGTTGGGTTGGGTTGGAGTACTCCTCATCTTCATATTTTCATCCTTATATAGATGTTTTGAGAATTTGTCCGCTGGAAAAAGACAATCTCAAATTTTGAATCTTGTCAGATAACCTTATAGCCTT